ATGTGTTTTTGTCAGGCGGCCAAGCTGAGAAAAGTGATGTTTCCTCAGAAGGCTCCAGACACACAAAAGAAGAGAACCGCTTCATCTCGGTCACACCAAGGAAAAGAAGCTGTTTCTTTTGTTAAAACCGTCACGAGAATTTTGACCAGCTTTTCTCTTTCATTTAAAAAGGGGACTTGAAGTCACCGAGGATCTTCTTAGTCTGCTTCGGAATGAAAGAAGACGTTTTTCCCCGTTTGAATACAATCAGTTTTCCATTTTTAAAACTTGGGTTGTCGTCCGGCTCCTCCTCCTTGTCGGGAGAAAAAGCTCGGTCTGTTCATTACAGCGAAACCACAGACACCAAGCCGGGGGGTGAAAGCCCAGTTTCTGCAGGAAACACAGGGGCTCTGTGTATCCGGATTTTTTTCTTCCATATTTCTTTATGCTTATTAAACAAAATGTTCTTATGTTCCCATGTAGGATCATTTCTATGCAAAATCTATGGTAAGAATTTTTTTGGTCTGTTTTAGAGACACTGAGCTTCAGGAATATTCAATCACTCACCCAAGATCACAGAAAGTTCATAGAAAAACCAGCAACGTCTTCTGACATCTCAATAATATTGGACATATGGGGGGGGGGTGCGTGTGTGCACATGCGTGTGTGCATGTGTGTGTGTGTACAGTCCAGTGAAAGAGACTGAAGCTGTGCACAGATAAGAATTCTGTGTCTTTGTTAGCAAACTTCAACCAAAAATGGGTTCATCTGAACGGGGCACTGTGCCAAGTTTCCCCAGAAGAGAGGCTGACAGAACCAGCTTAGGGAGTAAAACCAACTTGCCAAAAGGCAGCCACATAAACCCCTTTTTCTCCAAGTGCAGAAACTGATACATTTTCATTATAACCCCAAAGGGTGAGCTTCCAGGGATCACAAACTGAAAAAACAAGCAGATGTCTTCGCTGCTTGAGTATGTGGCAAGGAATGATTTGACTAAAATTTCAAAAAGCTTTGCAAACAAAATATTGCACATTTCAATTACCCAATCTCTGATGGGTGGACAGGTGAGGGGGCTGGGGGGGCCTGGCACAACTCCCCTGAAGAAAAGCTGGTCCAGCTGTCCCTGCCTGCTTCCTCCAAACGACCCAGAAAGGCGAGAAGAGCAGCCTCAAGTTTTTAAAAGCTGAAGTTTTTCAAACCCAGCAGAAATACTTTTATGCCTTTTATTTCACAGAGTCCATTTTATTTGCTCGCTATCAGGGCAGAAATACCTTCCACCAGGCACTTCTGAGCCGAACGGTCAACGTGGAATGTGACGCGGAGACTTTGCTGTGGCTCTGCCACCCACGCCTTGGCACCGCGGCTGAGCGCGGCAAAGCCAGGTCAACGCTTTAGAGCAAGACCAGGCGCCTTCGTCCCCGTTGTGCGGATCAGACTCGAAGGGGTCACGCCGGGGGACACAGCTGAAAACACCTGCCACGGACCCCACGGACCCCACGGCTCGGCGTCAAGCCAGGCTGTGTCCGCCCGGACCCCCGCTCAGCAGTGAGAACGGCCGAGTGTCGGCTCCTCAGGGCCACAGCAGGACGGCGCAGCCCCCAGGGCGCGGCACATGGTGAGCCCCGAGGGTGGGTGAGCTGTGGGTGTGCTGACCTGCGACCTGGGAGCTCCAGTCCCCGGAACAGGGCTGGCCCAGCGCAAGCGCTTGCGAGAAGACGGAGCAGCCGCCACCCTCATCATCGGGTCGCTGTAAATTAGGTTTCTGTTCATGTGTTTTAAACTCCATGGAACCTTCATGATGTTGTATGTTCACGTGCACGGCAGGACACAGGCAAGAGGTACTCCCGGTATTCTGTGCTCTCTGAGGGGATTACCAAGACGGGAGACCTTGGATTAGTCATTCCATCAAAATGAGCTTCCCCGGCATCTGACCAAAGGAGATGCTGACTGTGCCCCTCGCGGGCCGGGCAGAGAGCACGTGCAGCGTGCGCCCCCAGGAAGGGGGGTGGGGGAGGAGGGAGGAGGGAGGGAGACAGAAGAGGCACCATTTGTGTATTTATAGAGGCAGCGCGAGTGCTGGGGACTCACAACACTTAATACGATCTTCCCCCAAACTGCTGTGGACACCCCATCCCATAGACACAGGATCGTCACCCACCCAACACGCGGTTCAGCTGTCAAGACTGAAGTGACACACGCGCACACACGCACACGCACACACACATGCTCTCACACACTCACAGGCGAGAGCAAGAAAAGGCCCACTGCTCTCACCATGAGGCTCCCGGGGAGAGCAGGCAGCTCCCACACAGATGCTGGGGCCTCTCCCCAGGAGTCTGGCTTGGGGGTTTTGCTGCAGTTGGGGGCTGAGGCTGACACAGCCTGGTGGGGTGTGTATGGTTCACCCCCCACCCCCTGCACCAAAGGAAAGAGAACCCCGGCTTTCTGATCAGCTGCCCGCATGGGGGCAAAGGCCTAGAGGGCAGGGGTGGCTTCAAGCTCTCCACAAACGTCAGAAATCAGAATCAGGGTCCTGCTGACCCGTCCTCCAGGAAACTGAGGCTCGTGGCTGGCAATCCCCTGGCACAGCAGGGCTGAGGGCCAGCTGCCACCCCCGCCCCCTCAGCACAGCTCCCGGCGCCCAGGATGGGAGAACACCTGCCCCATGGGCTCAGCCCGGTCAGCCAGCCCAGCCCCGAAGAGCCAAGGACAGCCTAACTCCCTTGAAGCCCAGTCAGTGGTTTAGGGTTTAGGATTCTTTAGTTTTCTCAAAAAAAAAAAAAAAAAAAAAAAAACAGAACAAAAGAAAAAGAAACTTCAGCGCTGCTGAGACCTGCTTGCAGCCAGGGGAGGCACAGCGCCCGGGAAAGGATTCTCCTCACATCCAGGGAAAATTCCACTTCCCATTCCCCACGGAGGCTGGGCTCTCGCTGCAGCAGCCCGAGGGTGCCCGGGGCAGCTCCAGTCCCCTGGTCACAGCTGGGGCTGCGCGGGTTTCCTTGATTCTCAGCATAACTTCTCCACAGAGATCGCCCTTTTTTTTTTTTTAAATAGAAAATGAGACTTTCAAGTGCTGCTGCCAGAGCCCGGACGATGGCTTTCCAGTGATGGGCACCTAGTCTGGGGGTGACGAGGCCGAGTCCTGCCAGTGAGTCTGCCCGGCAGCCAAGGGGGGTCGGGTTCCAAACGCGCTGAGCTTCCCTGTTAGAATTACAGCTGCTGCTCCTCGGCTTTCTTCACCTGGGGAGCGGCACACAGCGGCCCTGCTCAGGGGAGCGGCGTCCAGACCGCGAGATGCCCTCCAAGGGGCGCTGGACAGGACGCCGGGGTCTGGCCTGGCACCCGTGGGCTGTGCTGGGTCCTGCCCCTCTGCTCAGGGAGGTGCCGTGTCCCCCGCCGCTGCTGAGCACGCACCCCAGCATGTCCGCGTCTTCGCGGGGCATCTCCAGGGAGCCCTGGAGCGCGCGTTCCCTTTCTTGAAGATGTTGGCATCTATCTTCACCTTCACACGCGCACGCACACATCCTGGCCGCTGAGTCCCCTTCCCGGTCGCTTTCCCACTTACACGAATCCGCACTTCCCCTGACCTCTGCCCATTCCGTCCACACGGAGCCCACATCGGCTCCTCCTTTCGAGGCGGGAATTAGCTCACGCAGGGGAAGCTGTGGCAGAAGCACGCGGCCAGCTCCTCCTGCAAAAGCCACGTCCTCAGCCAGCCACGGGGAAACCAGGGAGCAAGACCGTGTCCTGGTGGCCAGAGCAGGTCCAGCCGGCATCTCTCCGGAGTCCTGGTGTCCCACATTGACTTGAGGGTCATTCCACTCACACTCACACGCTCACACTCACCCACACACACACACACACACACACACACACCCCATCCTTTGAGGGAACTAAATACAGCTTCTCAGGGCCGGTTAACAAAGAGGACAGTCCCAACCCTGAGAAGCTCCGGTGGATTATGTGCCACTAAAAAAAAAAAGGCTGCTACGTTCCAGCAATAAGCCCGGCTGTCAAGGTCAAGCTGCTCGAGTCCATCCACCTCTATAAACGCGTATCTCCAGTCTGGGGGGGCGACGGGGGGAGGAGAGACCTTTCCACCCCCAAAGAAATGCGCCCATCTGAGTGATCTCGAAGGCACCTGGAGCATTTTACCAAATGTTTGTGAAACAAAGCTGCCCCCTCTCAGCCCGGGACGCGAGCGTGCGGCCCCTCGCTCCATCGCCTGCTGGAGCCGGGTCCCGCCCGAGCCACTGTCTCCCGCCCCCCGCCCGGCCGAGCCCGGCCCTCCCCGCCCGCACACCCGGCCCGGCGGTGCCCTGCGAGGGCAGGTGTGTCTCGCCGCGGGCCTCTGGGCTCCGAGCTCCGCCCGCGCCGCCGGCCGCCCCCTCCTGGCCCTGCCCGGGCTCCCCGCGGCCGCCCCGCCCGCTGCCCGCCGCGCGCCCCGCGCCCCCGCGCGTCCAGCCCCGAGGCCGCCCCGGCCCGCGCGCCCCGCGCCCCGCAGCCCCCGGCCGCCCCGGCCCCTCCGGGGCTCGCGGAGGGCGAGTCGCCGGCCGCGCGGGCGCCGCTGCCCTCCCGGGCTCGGCGGCCAGGGCAGCGCCCTCGGGGCGCGGGAAGGGAGGGAAGCGCCCCGCACCCGGCACGAGCCGCCGTCGCCCCCACGGCGCGCCCTCGGCCCGCGCAGCGCCCGGCGGGGCGGGGAGGGGCCCCTGGACAGCGACGGCCTCGGGGGGCACTCGGGGCGGCTGCTCCGCGCGGCCCCGGCGGGCACGGGGAGCGGGGCTCGGCCTGGGCCGGGAGGGGCGCGCCAGCGGGTCGCGCCAGAGTGCGGGGCTCAGGGGCGGCGCGCCCCGACCGCCTCAGGCCGGCGCGGCCGGAGAAGCGGGGCGAGCGGGGACGCGGCACCCCAAGGCGGGCCGAGGGCCGCGGCCGTCCCTCCCCCCGAGACGCCCGCCAGGCGCGCCGGGGCCGCGCCGAGGGGCAGAGGCGCCGGGGTCCGGCCGGCCCCCGCGCGCACTCACCTGGCAGTCGGCGCCCGCGAAGCCGGCGGGGCACGTGCAGCTGTAGCCGGGCTCGCCCGCGGGCGCGGGGGGCTGCGGGCCGGGCGCGGGGCGCGGGGTGCACACGCCCCCGTTCCGGCAGGGCAGCGCGGCGCAGGGCGCGGCGGGCAGGGGCGCGGCGGGCACCGGGCCGGCCCGGCAGGCGCCGCGGAGCCCCGCGCCGAGCAGCAGCAGCAGCAGGGCGGGCGCGGGCGCGGGCGCCGGGGCGCGGCGGGGCGGCATGGCCGGGAGGCGCGGGCCGGAGCGGAGCGGGGCGCGGGGCCGGGCGCGGGGCTGGTGGCGGCGAGCGCAGCTGCGCGGGGCCGGCGCCTCCTGCAGATGCGGGATCCGCGGTTCCCGGGGCAACGCCGAGGGCGGGGCCGGCGGGGCGGGGCCGGCGGGGGGCGGGGCGGGGCGGGGCGGGGGGACGGGGGGCCCCCACGGGGCCGGAGCGCAGGGAGCGGGCGGGCGGCCGGCGCCCCGGGCCTGGGGGCACGGGCGGAGTCGCGGGGGCGTCCCAGCCGAGGGGCGCAGCGCGGCCGCGCGGCTGGGGGTGCTGGGGTGCCGGGGCGCCGGGGCGCGGGCGGCCGCGGGGAGGCGGGGCGCCGAGGGTCGGCGCAGGCGCGGGCGGGGCCGGGGGGCGGGGGCCGGGGGGCGGGGGGCGGGGGCCGGGCCGGCTGCAGGTGCGAGAGGCGGGGACGCCCCCTAGGGCCCGCCGGGGGCGCTGCGCCGCGCGGGGAGGGGCGGCCCCGGCGCAGAATCGCGGAGCCCCCGGCGGGCGCCCGGTTACCTCGCTTCCCGGGCTGCGCCCCCGCCCCGGCCGGCGCCCCCTCCCCGCGCCCCCTCCCCGCCCCGGCCGGCGCCCCCTCCCCGCGCCCCTCCCCGCGGCGACGGCGCGCCCCTGCCGCGGGCCTGTCCGTGGTGCTGACCGCGGGTTCCTCCCGGGCGGGGCCGGCGCGGGCGAGGCCGAGGCTCGGGGGCCGAGGGGGCGCGGGTCGGAGCCGAAGGGGAAACTGAGCCCCGCCAGGCCAGGCGGGAGCCCAGTGGGCCCCTTGACCCCCAGCCCGGAGCTCTGCAGGCGCGACTCGGGGGGGCTCGCGGAGACCCGGCAGGACCCCCGCGGGGCGCGGGGCGCGGGGAGCGGCCGCCGGGCCCCGAGTGGGCGCGGGGCTTGCCCGGCCCGGCCCCCCCCGGCCCCCGAGGCCGCCCCCGCCTCGCGGCTTCCCGCCGCCTCGCCTTTCGGGGGGCCGTGCGAGAAGAGAAAAACGAGGCTTGGGTCGACCGTTTGGGCAAAAAAATTTAGGGCGCACAAAAATAGTTTTGTGACAACTGGGCCGGCGTGAGGGGGGCGAGGCCTCGAGCTGGGAGCCCGGAGCCGCCGGGCCCCGACGGGGCGGGGACGAGCTGGGCCCCCGTGCGCCCTGCACGAAGCCGCGTCCCAGGCGGGCGGCCGCGGCGCGCGTGGACCGGCGCCCCCCAACACCTGCGCGCTTCACCCCGCCGCGAGGAAAGACTCTGAGGACGCGCCGCGTCAGCGCCCTCTGCTGGCCCCCGCGCGCCCTGCAGGTGCCCCGGCGCGCGCCCCGGAGGGCGCCCCGAGTCCTGGCCCTGCTCCGACCTTTCATCCCGGAGTAACGCATCAGCGCTGCCCACGCTCCTGTCAGCGCGCGCGCGCGCACACACACACACACACACGCACGCACACACGCACACACAGACACACGCGCACACATACACAGACTCACGCACACGCGCGCGCACACACACAGACACACACGGTAGAAAATGGAGTGTACCAGGGGCTGTGAGCTGATGAAAAGCTCACCTCCATGTACTGTACTTTTCACAAATCAACCTCCCCGTGTGAATTTCGTATGACTTTGGAACATGGGAGAACTCACCATCACGTCATGGCAGCAATGCTGATTTCTGAATTTTCCAGATAATGTTGGGCTTTTAAAAATTATTCTGTCTTTAATCTTTAAAGGTCATAGTGTCGCAGACACAATAAAAGATCATTTCATTTTCCTCCAAACTAAAAAGGAAGACTGGATCTCCCAGCTCTCTTGCTGATAGGTGTCCTCATGTGATTCGTTCTGATCAATTGATTAGTTCTGATCAATAGAACATGGCATCATGTGCCATAGTCCCTGAACATTCATGACCAGTGTGTTAAACATCATTATTACTATCATTAGTCTCAGAGTTTCCTGTGTGTTATGAAGGCGGATCTTGTGCTTGGCTGACATCTGCAAGACCCCCAAATACCCAGCTAAAGGGTACAAGTAATATATGATGTTATGTCACCTTGTCTTATTAACAGAGGTCATTAAAATACGGTTGATGCTATGTTTAAACAACAGCTGAAAGCTCTCTTATCCAGACTTTTGGCTCACATTGTTCCAAACACACAGAACTTGAAATCTTCATCCTAACCCATCTCATTTCCTTATTTCCTTTTTTGATAGAGACCTAATTAATAAGTCAAGGACACATTATCTAAATGAGTCTTGAATTCATCAAATAATGTGATAAAAGTTTTCATGGTCACCTTATGGAAAAAGTATACTCAAAACCATTTAAACAGTTGTGATCTGGACATCCTAGGATAGAAGACCTAGCATGTCTCAGACCTAGTCAGAAGACCACCAGATGAGAGGAATTTGTTAGGGAAATGCTAAAGATGCTCAAATTTTGACAACTAATATAACGTGTACTGGAATGAAGTTGGAAAATTATTTCTACCAGTTAAATGCTGAGCTAAAATAAATAAAATAGGGGCCTCCCCCGTGGCACAGGCAGTTGAGTGCAGTGCAGTGAGGCTGTCCGCAGCCTCTACAGCGTGGGTTCAATCCCGGCCAGCCAGGGAGATACCTACATGGCGCGGTGGACCTCTCCTGTCTCACCCACTGCTCCCCTCAGCAGTGTAGTTTGGTCAGTCTGCTGTTTCTGTTCCCTGAGCTGTCTCTGGTGAATCCTCTCACCCTCCCGCACATCTGGCCTGTATCCCAGTTCTTGTATGCATGAATAAATCAATCTAAAAAAATAAATAAATGAATAAATACAATAGGATATGAGGTGATGGGGAATGATAGTCCCATTGTCCTTACTGCCATTTGCCCATATTTCTACCTTCCCTCCTGTGTGTGTCAGCTGTGTGATGTAGACACTGTCTTGTGTGATGTGAGTCACGTATGTACGTGTAGATGGATAACGTGATGCACAGTGCCTGCAGGATGTTCATGGATTGTTGGGGGACACAACTGGAGGGTCTTAGGTTTTTGCTCATTTGCTTTCTTTGTAAGGTGTACTGTTACCCTGACTTGCAACATTGCAGGATGTGAAATGGGGTGGGCCTTTGACAGTCTTTTCTGAGAAGGAAGATGTAGCATTGCGGAAGCTGGATCACTAAGTGTGGCTGGGTAGCAACAGACGCAAGGAGACCCCCACTCCTCTGAATCCCCATTTTCTCATAGTGCCTTCTCTCTGCTCCCCTTGTCTCCTGTGCAAAAAAGTGATCAAGAGGCAATGAAAAAATGTAAATACTGAGTACGTGGGAGTTGTGTCTTTGAAGTGCCGTCATGAAGAATAAACGTGATTTGCAGGCATTGCAGCCACAAGCGCCAGAACTATTATCTTATTCCTTTAATTAGTAGTACCCCTTTTTCAGTTGGTCACTTACATGTTTTAGTATATACATCCAGCTTATTTTACTTGGAATTACCATGAACAATTCCCAAATGCTATGTTTAAGATAGGTTCATATTTACTTTCTTCCCCCTAGACTTGCTCTGATTTTAATTAAACCACTATTCTAGTTGCTTAAAAGTTTTAATTTCTTTTACATTATCATTCTGATATCAAGTGGATCTGGGGAAGGTTTAAATGAGAAGTCTTGAATAAAAAGATAGCAAGAAAGCATAACTTCCCTGCATAAATATTTCATAAAGCACTTGAACTACCACCACATGGAAATCAGATCCTCTTGTGGAGATGCCTGAGAACTTGAGAATTATGTTAAACTCAACATGGTTTTTAGTGCCAGTATGTTGTTATTTTGAGGAATGTGCCATACTGGAACATCGACATATTACTAAGAAGGATGTCTCATCAACTGGCTTGCAAATAAGGAGGTTTAGTTCAAGACCTCTCTTTTGCTCCTGAATTCTGTCTGTGATCTTGAAATACCAGGAACCCTTGGAAGTTCCAGGTTCTCATTGGCTTTGCCAACATGAAAGCAGTTCCTGTTTTAATTGCCATATGCAAGATGTTTCCATGAATGGTTTACGGAAGTTAAGAGTTTATTCTCCCCGGGGGGCCTCCCTGGTGGCCCAGGGGTTAAGTCTCAGCATAATCACCCCTGTGGCCTGAGTTCGATCCCCAACCAGGGAGCTACCCACATGGTGGAGCAGACCTCTCATGTGTCCCCGCTGCTCCCCTCAGCAGTGTATTTCCCCAGAACTGATAACCTAATGAACTGCACAGTTATCAGCAGAGAATCTTCTGCCTTGGCCACAGATGCAGTTTGAACTATCCACGCGGAATTATCACCAGCATCTATTGTTTCCCCCCTCTGCTATCCCTCCTTCTTCGGGTAACTGGGCTCCAATTTTACTTTGGAGGAACAAACCCTATCCAACTCTCAGCCCAGGAAACAAACCCCAAGGAAACTCGGGGTGGGGGGGCCCTTCTTGACACTGATCTTAGCCGCGCATCTTTCCACGCGACCCCAGAAGCACAGGCAACAATAGAAACAAACAGACACGTGGGATTAGCACCAAGAGGTTCCTGCACAGGAAAGGCACAATTCCATGCAAACAGGACCTGTGGGCTGGGAGAAACTATTCGCAAGCTGTAGATCTGATGAAAGATTAATATCCACAATGTATAAGGAACTCAGACAACTCAATAACAAATAACAATAATAATAATATAATTAAGAAATGAGCAAAGGAACTAAATAGGCAGTTCTCCACTGAAGGCTACAGAGGACCAACAGGTATATGAAAGGTGCTCAGTCACCTGCCCTGACCATCACTCCTGGTCAGGCGAATGCAAATCAAAATCACGAGGAGGTGTCATACCATACCTGTTAGGGTGCTTGTTATCAAAAAGGCAAAAGGAGAGCATGTGCAGAAAGGGGACTCTTGTGCTCCGTTGGTGGGAATGCAAATTGTGCAGCCACTGTGGGAAACGGCATGGAGGGTGCTCAATAAATTAAAAACAGAGCTATCATACGATCCAACAGTCCTTGCCCTGGTTAGATACCCAGGGGACTTGAAGTCAGGATCTTGGGGGGGCTACCCGCCCATGTGTGTAGCAGCAATACTCACAATAGCAAAGATACGGATCCTAAATGCCCATCAATAGACAAATAGGGTGATGAAACACATGCAACAGAATATTATGCAATTGCTAAGAGGAAGGACATTTTGTCACTTGTGACAATATAGAGGAGCTGAGAGAACATTATGCAAAGTGATGGAAGCCAGACACAGAAGGACAGCTACTACACCACACCACTCATGTGAGGAATCGGCAACAGTCAAACTCTTAGTGCAAAGTGTGGCATGGAGTTGCCAGGGAGGGAGCGGGGAACAGGGAGGGAGGGATTAGTCATGGGGTATGGAGCTTCAGATCTGGAGGTGAATGAGTGGTGGAGGAGACTGCACAGACAGCATACAGCATGCTTGCACACTTGAACTTTGCAAAGAGAGCGGCTCTTGTGTTCGGTGTTCTTTTCACCAACAACACTAGCAATAATGGCAGGAGGAAAGTTCTGGAGGTGGTGGAGATGTTTATGCTGTAGATTGTGGTGATGGTCTCATAGATAAGTACTTCTCCCCAAACTTATCAAGTTGTATGTATTAAATACACAAAGCTTTTAAAATATGGAAACAACCTAAATGCCCAAAAGCAGACAAATGGATCAAAGATATGCGGTACAGTTACACCATGGAATACTACTCAGCAATCAAAAAAGATAAACACGTGCAGTTTGCAGCAACACGGGTGGAGCTGGAAGGGATTACGCCCAGCGAAATAAGTCAAAAGGAGAAAGAAAAATATTGAATGGATTCACTTATAGGAGAAACATAGGGAAACCATCCAAGGGATCAGAAAAAAAAAAAGAAGACAAAACTAGCAGGCAAACTATGAATCCGAGACATTCAGAAGGGGAGGGGAGGGAGAGGGATCAAAACTGCAGGAAAGAACACAAGAGTCTGTGGTGATGGTTCACGGGTGTGTTGATTTCTCCTCAGAGGAGAAATCAAACATTGTACAAAAATGAACAACGAGGGCCTCCCCTGGTGGCACAGTGGTTGAGCGCTGGGCTGCAAAGTTGCCCGCAGCCTCTGCAGCGCTGGTTCGATCCCCGGCCACTGGGGAGGGTCCCATAAGGCGCACAGACCTCCCTGCCGCCCGCTGCTCCCCTCAGCAGTGTACTTCGGTCCTTCTGCCTGCTCTGCTCCCCGCTCTGGCTCTGGTGAATTCTCTCACCCTCCCGCGCTTCTGACTGTACCCAGTGCTTGTATAAATAAATAAATAAATCTTAAAAAAAAAAAAAAACGATGTGAAAATATATAAATTAAAATAAAAATAAATGAATAAATACAGCTTTTATTTGTCAGTCATACCTCAATAAAGTAGTTTTATAAATCAATAAATGTAAAAGTGACATCACCCCCAGATCCAGGAGTAACCATGGACCTGGCTTGAGGCTCCCCTAGCAACCACTGCAGTCATGTTCCTTTTGTAGACTATTAACCACTGACACCAAAATTCAACAAAGGTAGCAGATACCCAAAAAGTTGATGCAGAGATCCCTTCAAAATTAACAAAACAATCCAGCAAATGGTGAGATACATAACATGTCTACATATAGATATATGAAATGACCATGTAGGATCTACTTCCAGAATAAAAGCACAATTAAATATGAGAAAATCAATACCTTATTATACTTTAGTATTCAGAGAGAGACCTAAATATTTATGAGAATGTCAGTATGTGCTAAGAGTTGAATGAATTGCTCAATAGATGGGATTGAGACCACTGAGTCACCACGTGGAAAAGAGAATAGCATTGAGTCCATACCTCACAACTTACAGCTAAATCAACTCCAGATGGACCCAAAATTTAAGTGGAACTAAATAGTGAAGCCATAAAAATACAAGAAGAAACCAAGACAGAATACTTTCATAATCCAGGCGTGTGGCACATATCCAGAAGCCATTAATGAAAAGATCAAAACATTTGTCAATATAAAATTACAAAATTTCACATGGCAAAAATCACCATATGCAAAGTGAAAACACTGAGGAGTCTTTGCAACTTTTATCAAAATCAAAGGGCTAATTTCTGTACCATGGAGAGAAGTTACATAAATCAATAAGAAAGATTATTTACAAACTTCAAAGATCTCTATCCCTTAAAGCAGTACCTACCTCCCAAAGTGTGTTTCACGATAGAACACTGGTCCTAGTAGATACTAGCAGCCTGTGATTACTTATAAGTCATCATTTTTATTGTGATGTTAATAGATACTGTTTGATTGCCTTCCTTCTAGCTTCATCTGTTTATACTCCCACCAGAAATGTGTAGATTCCCTGTTTTCCTCTCCAGCATAGGTTTTATCAAACTTTTGATCTTTGAAAATCAATCAGGTGAAAAAAGACATCACAGTGTAGCTTTTAAGTACATTTCTTATCATGAGTCGAACTGTCTTTTCATATTATTCAGAGAGATTTGTATTTTCATTTCTATGGGTTGATTGTCCTAAAAACCAAAGCTGCCCACTCTGTATACAGCTGAGGCCCAAGATGGGAACTGTCACCGCCCCCACACACACCACACACACAGCCTGCCGGCCACGAGACTCACCACTAACGTGACATTTCTATCCCATGGTCTGCCCTGTCATCGCCTCCTATTCCAGGACACTTTATTCACTAAAGAAGTTTCTCGAAAGACCTATCAATTTTTTAATAAAAACCACCAACATTCTAGTCCCTAAGACACTTTGCCTTGACATAGTCACCATGCTGCCCCCACCCATCCAAATCCTGTTGCACCTGATTCTTCCCCGAACCCCATCAAGCACATCGAAAGCGCTGCCGAGGGGCTTGACCAAGAGGGAGGAGTCAAAGGTGACCCTAAAATTCAGGTCCTGAGCTACTGAATAACTGCAATTGTCATTTCCTGGGGTGATGAGGAAAGGGGAGGGCAGCAGGGGTCGGGGGTGCCAGCAGTGACTTGGGTAGATGGACGGCGAGGCCAGCGGTACAGGCAGGGGTGAGTGACAGGTGACAGGAGTGAGCAAAAGAAGGGAGAAGAGGGATGCCAGGGGCGGGAATGATACTGAAGATGAACTCTATTTCGAATTCTAGACGCAGCTAGCTACTTCGAATTATGTTAGCAGTGAAGACACCCAAACTGCTATTTGAAATCCCGAAAGTCATGATTTTATTTTATTTGGTACATGAAGTGCGTTCCTAGCACACGATTCCAAAAATAGCACCCCCGTTTGGGCTCATGTCCTTGCACAGCCAGCCGGGTTCTCCCTGAGAGGACAGTGCGACCTTCCATACATTTGTGAGAATCTCTCCAAACACGAATAAAATAACATGAGACGTAATTGCTTTGGGAATCAAGTCGGGACCTCAGAAGACAGGGTGTGCACACACTTTCTTTTTGCTGACAACGCAGAGGAAAGCACAGCTTTGTTTGATGGCACCTAATGAGGTTACAAGGAAAGGTAAGGCGCGGTCACCAGCAGTCTGCCCCTCCGGGTCTGGAGCGCTGCAGCTTCCCCAGGCTGCTCGTCACCCAGCCTTGTGATTAACTGAAGCCTTCGCTCCACGTCACCAGCAAATGTCATCCCAGCTCACGTGGCCTTTTGTGCGTCAGGGGGTGTGTGTCATCTGAGCACCCCTCAAAGAGCAGGCTGTGGCTACTGAAGGACGGCCGGGGGGCTGTGCGCCTCTGCCACCATTTATCCCCAGATGAAGCCAATTGATTTAGATGCAGATGTCACAGACTGATTAAGAACTACTCGGCAGCAAATATTCCATTGGCCACTGAGATGAGCCTGAACAGACACAGCCAGATGACGTCTGCATCGCGTGACAGCTCACGGGGCCCGGCACGGGCTCCGTCATTTCCCTGAGTGCACAAATTAGCCCAAGTGAGCCCGCCCCCCTCGCCTGCACGGAGCCTCGGTGGACACTGGTCATTTCACCTCTTTCCCTCCACTGCAGCAGTAAGCCAGTTGCATTTTGTCTCACTGTCTTTGTTATCAACTAAGATGATTTTAAAAATCAAATATTTAGTGGGCTTCCCTGGAGGCGCAGGGGTTAAAGTCTCAGAACTATCAAGCTATCACCAGTCCGTGCGGCACAAGTTCAGTCCCCAGCCAGGGAGCTGACCCACATGGCACGCCAGACCTTTCCTGTCTTGCCCACTACTCCCCTCAGCAGTGTATTTCAGTAGATCCACGTGTTCTGCTCCCCACTCTGTCTCTGGTGAATCCTCTAACCCCCCGCACACATACACGTTTGGTCTATACCCTAGTTGCATGGCTGTATGAGAATGAAGTTGTGTTCCCTTGTGTCTTGTGCACTTCCTTGTGTGTTTATTCAATTATAACTTTTAAAGTTTAAAATAATAGAAGGAAACCTATAAAGATGACTAACAGAGCCTGTAGAAAAGCCCCAGTGACCCCCAAATTCTTACCTTCATGTTTAGCTGAGTCTTCCAATCCAAATTTTACCTTGTTTTCTTTTTTTTTCCCTGTATTATAAGACAACATGTTCAAATAGCCAGTAAATATATGGCCAAACATTAAATCAAAAACTATTTATCAGGCCTCCCTGGTGGTGCAAGGGGATAAGACGCAATTGCTATGAAGCAATCGGCAGCCACTGCAGCACAAGTTCAATCCCCGGCCAGGGAGCTACCCACATGGCATAGCAGACCTCTTCTGTCTCACCCACTGCTCCCCTCAGCAGTGTATTTCAGTCAGTCTGCCTGTTCTGTTCCCCACTCTGTCTCTGGTGAATCCTCCCACACCCTACACCTCTGGCCTGTACCCTAGTTCTTGTGTGCATAAATAAATAAATCATAAAAAAAAAAAACTGCTTATCGAAGACCTGTGATGGGTCAGGCATGGTACCAAAGATGAAGAAGACAGGTTTGTGAATACTCAGGGAAATCACAGCCTGGCAAGGCAGAACTGGCTTCTAATCTCATCCTCCACCAAACAGTGCGCATACCCTTTTCATGAAATTCACATCCAGAGGCAGTAGCACAGCTCCTCATGAAGCCCAGTTTGGATGAACTGCAGAGGAGGGCATCTTCCCTGTAAGCCAGGCTGGATGACATGTCATGTTTGCCCTGGAAACTCCTGCCAATTCACAGCAGACATCACTCGTCGATCAGGATGCTCTTCTCTCCCTGTCTCCCCCTCATAGCTCCCTTGAGCCTCCTGACAGAATAAGGACCAGCCCATGACGTGCTGTTAATGTATTGGTCTTGAATCCCAGCATTTGCTACTTTTTTTTTTTTAAAGATTTATTTATTTATTTATACAAGCACTGGGTACAGTCAGAAGTGCGGGAGGGTGAGAGAATTCACCAGAGCCAGAGCGGGGAGCAGAGCAGGCAGAAGGACAGAAGTACACTGCTGAGGGGAGCAGCGGGCCGCAGGAGAGGTCTGCGCGCCATGTGGGACCCTCCTCTGGTGGCCGGGGAGCAGCCGGGGATCGAACTGGCACTGCAGAGGCCGCGGGCAGCTTCGCAACCCAGCGCTCAACCGCTGCGCCACAGGGGAGGCCCCATTTGCTACTTTTTGAAGCCTTTGTCCCTTTTCATTTGAAAGCATCCTTGGGAAGAGCAGTAAATTGTTAGCAATCGTTTTTCTCTATGATTTGAGAGTAACTTTGGAAGCAAGAGCAGAGCAAAATGTAATCAGCACAGGTCTAGAGCTTGAAGGGGATGCAGACAAGGCACTGCAGGAAAATTTGCTTATGTCACCACTAGCCTTGGTGATAAGAGGTAAACTGACAAATTAATCCTGAAAATAACAGGCAACTGAGAGATTCTGAGACCACAATTGGGACTCTCAGCTTTCACTAGGCACAGATATCTGGAGGTATTCAAAACTCAACTTCTAGCCTCAGCAGAGCTCCTGATTAGTTCTGAAGTAAGAGAAATTAGCAACAGGCTTATTTGTGCCCCACGCGGCCATCCCTCTTGCATTATTAGTGTTGGTGACAAACACCCAACCGGATCTCTTCATATAACCTGAGCTCTTCTGCAGGAGAAGCTGCTTCCTTCCTCCAGAGTGTCACCTTCTCCATTCCCAGGAAGAAAACCACCTCCCGGGAGCTCCTGGCTCAGGGCGTTTGTCCAAACACTACAGAAAAACAGGGACGATGCCGTTGCTCAGCCTGCGACTCCGTAGTTCCTTGCTTCACTGTGTATGTATGTGAGAGGAGAAAATATTTTCCCAAGTAATAAGCTCAAAATAGTTTCAAATTCTTGCAACTGCACGATAAATGTGGTTTTCTGTATTGTGGAGGCTTCTAGAACAACAGCATTTATAACCAGAGTTTCCTTAGACGAGCTCACAACATTGTCTGCACTGACACAAGCACTGGAGCAGGAAGAGGGACCCACGCAGAGGGACAGTGGCTTGGCAGAGGGGCGCTGCCCTCTAGCTTCAGTGCAGGGTAGACTTGCCCGCCTCTGGTCTGTCTCAGGAGCTTTTAACCATGAAAATTCGTTTTTGTGTGCACGCACGTGCTCACGTGGACGCACGCGCACGCACACATACACACACACACACACACACACACACACAGAGCCCACTCGCATCCCACATGGAGGGATTTTCAGGGAATTGAAAACCAGGCGCTCTCTTCCTTGGCCCTCTGCCCTCTAATCCTCACTCCTCCCTCAGCCCCAACCTTCACCTTCATGCTGGTCAAGTTCTCATTCAGAGCACTTCCTCTGGCTAAGAAAGGAATCAATTTGATGAACTTTACCAATCTCTCACATGGATATGTGCATTTTCAATATGAATTCAGGTAGAATTATTTATGCACACATGCACACCACACACACACACACACACTGTTCACCGGAAGGACAGCTCCCTAAGGGTGGAATTGTAGATACAAGCAAAGAACTTCCTACAGACTGCACCTACATGATGACCTTGGCCTACAAGTTAAACTCTCCTGACATCCAACTATGTGGACCCCCCCCCCCCCACATAGGCGTATGTCTCTTACGCAATCACTCTGGAAACACTTCTGAAATGGCAGAGTAAGGACCTCCAAAAATCCATTTCTCCATAAAATCAGTGAGAACACCAACAAAAGAAATTGTTAAAAACAATTTTTTACAACTCTGGGGATTAACCAAAGATGTGCGATCATCTCAGGAACATTTATTCAAGAAACCTGCCGAGTTCCAGCAAGAACAATCGGCCTTGGGCTAGTTTAACTTGCCCTAGTCCTTTCCCCAGCTCCCCGGCTCCAGGCTTGTCTTGAAAACTACCAGCCCCACAACTACAATGACTGTGAAACTCATCAGCCTGGCAGCCCCAGGAGGGAGGAAAGGCGCCTCCCCAAAGCTTATGCGAGGAACACTGTCTCTGACCCGTCAGCCAGCAGCCTGGAAAGCCCGGTTCTCAAGTTTGTCTTTATCTGAACTTACTTCAGAGCTTGCTCTGCTCAAGCAGTCGGCCCCCAGGGCTCTGCAAACACTAGAGTAAACACTACGTTCTGATTAGTTGATATTGCAACTGCTGATGGCAGAAATACTACTGGGGCTGACCAAGAAACCTAAAAGAAAGCCTCAGGGATGAGATATTCATTGGGCACTTGGAAAAGTTTTGACACGTAGGAGGAACTCTAAAACCCTGAGTGCAGGGGTGAAGTCTTAGCACCGGGAAGCTATGAGCAGCCTCTGCATCATGAGTTCCATCCCGGCCAGCCGGGGAGCTGACCCACCTGGCACAGCAGACCTCTCCTGCCTCGCCTGCTGCTCCCCTCAGCAGTGTATTTCAGTCAGTCTGCCTGTTCTGCTCCCCACTCTGTCTCTGGGGAATCCTCTCACCCCCCACATCTCTGGCCTGTACCCCAGTTCTTGTATGCATAAATAAATAAATCTTAAAAAAAAAAAAAAACCCTAACTTTGGAAGAGTAGAAAAAGAAAAGCAGTTGGAAACCAAACAAGCAGTAGGAAGGCAATAGGAAGGCTTAGGATGGAAATAACATTGACTGCGTTACTGCTGAGAAAGTGAACCCATGAGAAGCAGCAACTGTCTTCACAGGCATCGTGTGATAGCTTATTTCTGAGCCAAGTGTTTGGGGTGTTATATTTCTACAGAGTATTATTATCACGAAGTCACTTAGGCAAGTAACGAGACAGGTAATATGAGGTAAAGAGCTACACCATGATTTCCTGTTCTCAGAGGTGGAGAGTGGAGGAAATATTTCCCCCTGACCGCCCAGGTTATTCTCAGGCTGATTGAGAAATCAAAACCTCGGACAGATTAGCAGAGGGAGAGATCCTTTCTTAGAGGGAAGCCACATCGATGAGGAGGATTCCATTTTCAGCCAAGGAGAACAGGGTTACAGCCTTGCTAAGGAACAGGTAGTGTGAATGAAGGAGGGAGGTGGGGAGCTCACACGATAAGGATCGAGTGACTTAGATGCCAAACCGGATCTTCGGTAATTAGATGTTTGCCCTGTGATGGAGCGAGCTTCCTCCAACAGAGAAGTCATTTCTAGATATAATCCTATATCTGGATAATATTTCAATTTTTGTTCTTCCAGGTTGTTAGGGAAGTGGTAGTCACTCCTCCTGAGTCTCCAGGACTTCACAATAATTCACATTTCAAAGAGACACGCCTTAAGGTCTGTTCTGAACTCCTTCAGAGGCAAGAGGCATGCGTGACCCTGCACGCCAGGGTCACATCTAGAAATTCACATCTCAGATTGCCCTGCCTACCCCCAGCCCCAGCAAGTCCAACATTAACTGACTCATTCACCTTGAATCCTCCCTCAATTTTCCCCTAGATTCTGTGTCCTTTTAGGAGTTTTTCTTTGAGGTCCCAGCAACTACAGAAATCATATGACACCATCAGAAGCGAGGGCTGCTTGGCTTTGTTGCAGTTCTGGACCCAAATTCAAGTGACATCCTGATTCAGCACATAGAAGCTGTTCAGACTCCACCTACTTGTATTTTTTTTAACGCTTCCATTGTTCTGCAGCCCCATAACTGTTGCCCAAAATCCCATCCTTGGGGAGACTGATTCAAGAGTCTTGTTGCCAGACTCCTGCCAAGGGACTCTGCATGAAACTGGTTCTCTTCTCAAAAATTGGTGGCCTGGCTTTTGGCTTCTGTGCCACCAGGAGTCTGGCCTACTTTGCAGGTTTCTGTGATAACCCAGTGCCATTATGCAAGTTAAGTGCTTTGCAGAGAGTGAAACGGGGGGTGACCCATGGCCCCCATGTCATTGCTGGCTGGAGTGGGGGGCAGTGCATTTAATGAGTCAAGAGCTCCTCCCTGGAATAAGGCCTGGGATTAAAATGAGGCAGCTGCAGAACCAGGTAGGTAGAAGTTACTCAGGTCCTCTGAGCCATTAGCTAGGGTCACTAGTGACCTTCAGCGAGGGCTGAAGCAATCACTTTTCTTAGATTTTATTGTTTGCAAAATGAAAGAGAAATGAGATTTAGCCAGGCAACCCAAGCTACAGCAGATATTTTTAGTTGTAAGTAGAAGTTGCCCCACAAATGGAGAAATACTGTCAACCGCATTGAGCAAAGTGCTTAGTCAGAATCTGCTTCCACTGTTCAATGTAAGAGGATGTAATTACATTTGTCATATTATTTCTCACACTCTTAAAGGTGGATTACACGTCACTTGCGAGCCATGGCCTTGGATGAAAACAGGTATTAAAATCAAAGCTCAAGGGGCAGAGAGATGATTTAGACAAATAAAACATGAAGAGAAACAATACTTGCCAAGCATCTGTAAGAAGCCAGGTGCTTCAGGAGTGTTGTCTGGGTTGAACCTGGCAATCTCACGCGATGGGGCCGTTGGCATCACATTTTCAGAGGAGGAAGTGAGGATAACAGAGGATAGCCAATTTGCCTCAAGTCCCGACTCTGGAAGACTTGGGACTGACCCTCCACTAAAATTCCTCCAGCTCTAAAGTCCGCCCTCTTCCCTACTCCTGGCGTCTCTGAGTTGCAAGCCCAGCACTTAATTGCTGGTGATATCAGTATTTCTGTTTATGGAGACTTGGATTTTGTTTTTCTTCATTTTGCCTTATTCCATAGGGCAATACTTTGCTTCATTTCATTATATAATCGCTCTCTCCTATATTGCCTACTGTTTTCCTATGCAGAAAATTTCATACATTTCTAAAATTTTTGACTCTTTTTCTTAAATCCCTTTGTTCTCTAGTATCAATAGGAGACCGTCATAAAGTTAAGCAGACGGATGCTGGGCCTTTTAATTTTGCTCCAATTCTTTGCCCTATTCAATTTTCTGAAAAGAATTTCATGGAGGAATGACAATGGGTACATCACATGATCACGTCGTGGTTGGTGCCTTTGCAGTAAAGCCAGAGAGAAAGTTTTATTTAGACTTTTCTTTTCTGACGAACACGAAAATGAGAGTTCCTATGTGGCCCTGCCAAAAGGAGCAAGAGAAGTGCCCATAAAGATTTGCAAAGAAGACTCTGTCTTCGGCAATGGCAGTGGAAGACAATGGGTAAGGTTTCCTTTCTGGTTTAATGGTAGTCTTGGAAAGGTGTGTGCCTGCTCGTCCATCAGCACACTCTTGTTTGGAAGACAACCTGCCAGACCGTCTGAAAAATCTTCCAATCTCAGGATGCAAGTAACAGAAACTCACTTTGGACTCATTCAGTAGAACAGGGGGCAGAAGTGGAGGGTCCCCCCGTGGACAGGCCGGGTGAGACGGCAGGTGGGGCAGGGCCAGGAGAATGTCTCATGAGGAAGGATTCGCTCTTTCCTTTCCTGCTTTCATGGATGTGGCTTTTGTATGGGTCAGTGATGCTCACGCGGTGGCCAGACGGCCCCAGCATCTCAGGCTTGTCTGCCACTCACTGCAGATGCGGCAAGAGGGAGGTTCTCTTTCCCAGCAGGGCGAATGAAAGTGTCGTTCCCTGACCCCGACTGGTCTCTCCGGTCACGTGCAGCTCCAGAACGGTTCAGGGAGCCAGGAAATGCTCTCTTCTGATTGGCTCGTCTGGATCAGACGCCTCCATCTGGAGCTGGAGCTGGTTTGATCTGAACTAAACTACTTTCAAACCTCGTGAACTGGAAACGAGGGTGGCTTTTTCTTGAAAAATAAAATATGGGAAGATTCAACAGATAAAGCCAAAAAAGGTCTATGCTGCATTTCCTTTTGCATCAGATGCGTCCAATGGTTCCTTTTGTCAGCAGTGCGCTAGGTTTGCAATAAGGTAAGTAATCTGTGAGCTTATAGTATTACGGTTTTGAAAAGGAGAATCAACTAAAGGACCCAAAATAGCCAACGGGTCATATAAATCAGGATATAGCCGTAAAGAACAACAGGGCGGAGATCGTGGTCTTAACCAGTAAGTTCTGTGCCTTGCGTGCATGTTCACGTAGACTTACAAAAGCCTTGGGACATGGGCATTGGTCATTTTCTCGTTTCACAGAAAAGGAAATTATTAGCAAGGTACTTCTTCTAGCAACCATCCTCCCGGGCGTGGGCCTGATTGTGGGAGAGCAGGTCGGGTGGCTGAGATTGCTCCAGACAGGATCACGTCTCCTACAGAATCCCTGTCTCTCCACTTTCATTTTGCTTGTGGGTGATTTGGAAACATCACCCTCAGGTTCAAGGTGTAAGTGGTTCACCCTGTCATCCCAGCCTAGGACAGGAGGATCAGAAACAAAGCAAAACAGAACACTAGAAACAGGAAGAAAGTTGACTGGAAGGAACCCACGGAAGGGTAAGTGACTATCAGGCTTTTCTGCTCCCCCGCCCCCCGCCGTTAGCATTCATGATGGCTCCCTGCGGTCCTGCATGCATGCCTGATGGCGGGCACCTGGAGTGGGGTGTGGGCACGCCTAGGTGGGGACACCTGGACTGAGACTGGGCCTGGAAGGGCAGCGTCACGGAAATGGAACCAGCAGGAGAGAAAGAGCAGCAGAATGAGAGAGAAGCAGGAGAGAGAGAACAAGGCCACAGGAGAACACCGGAGAGCCCAGGAGGAGTGAAGATTCGCGGGGGGCTGGGAAGCCTGCCAGCCTCCGGTTCCCCGGCACCCCTGCCTGCCTGCCAGACTCCTGGTCCCCCGACACCCCTGCCTGCCTGCCAGCCTCCCGTCCCCCGCCGGCACCCCTGCCTGCCTGCCAGCCTCCGGTCCCCCGGCACCCCTGCCTGCCTGACAGACTCCTGGTCCCCCGGCACCCCTGCCTGCCTGCCAGCCTCCGGTCCCCCGGCACCCCTGCCTGCCGTGTGCCTGGCGAAGTCTCAGTAAAACCCCGAAAAAGCCCCAGAGGGCTCCAGGACTCTCCTGTACCGTCTGCAGAAGTTCATGGAGATCCTGCTCCTTCCCTTCCTGCCGCTCCACCCACGGAGCAGGAAAGAGCAGGAAGTGACAGGACACGCGTTTTTTCGGCAAAGTTTGTCCACAAAAGAGCCCTCTGGTTACCTGGCTTCCCGAATGAAGCAGGTTGCCACTTCTGGGAAGTGTGGGAGAAGGCAACGCTGGGGCCCCATTCCTTGAAAGACAAAGATGAATCCTTCAGGCACCGTAAGAGACACCAGGACGCTCAACTTCCAGGAATGGAAGAAAACCTCGGGTTTGTGGAAAGGCCACCGGCTAGGAGTCAGAGAATCTAAGTTCTAGTGAAGACAGAACCCAGGGGACCTTGAGAAGGATATGACCTCTGCGAGCTCCGACCCCCTCAACCAGAAACAGAGGACTGATAAGCAACACCCGGAGTGTCTTTGCCGCATTAGGATTCCTGTAGGTTCTAACTCTATTGGCAAGACAGATATGCGATCTTGGGGGAGGTCCCAGCTCACTTTTCATATAGAAGGCTGCGTCAGAAGAACTTGAGTAAGGCAGTGGGTCTTAACTTCCCAGTCCTACCCAAGTCCACTCTCGTTTGACAAGTGGAATTTTCTTGAATTTGTCATTACAAACTAGTAAGAAACCCCCTATGCCTAAATATTAACGTGGATTTTTTTTTAAGATTTATTTATTCATGCATACAAGAACCGGGGTACAGGCCAGAGGTGTGGGGGAGAGAGGATTCACCAGAGACAGAGTGGGGAGCAGAACAGGCAGACTGACTGAAACACACTGCTGAGGGGAGCAGCAACGAGACAGGAGAGGTCTGCTGTGCCATGTGGGTTGCTCCCTGGCCGCTCGGGGATCGAACTCGTGCTGCAGTGGCTGGCAATTGCTTGATAGCGCTGTCCTCAATCCCTGTGCCACCAGGGAGGCCCCCTAAGATGGATTTAAAAGATCAAGGCATGGGATAAAAATAATATTTATTTTCTGAGCCATATCATACCTGATGTTAACAAGTGACGTAAAGCAGCTCAGACTATTTCCAGAAGAGCCTTGCACTTTTCCTTGGGCAAATGAAAATGAAGCAGGAGAGTGACTTGGCTCAACTTGAGTCAGAGAGGACTGTGGTATTCTTAGCCCAGGGAGCAGGTCTGAAAAAGATGGGCCCAGGAGAGTGGTCTACGTTAGAGGCTTGGCATCCTACGGCGGGGGGCGGGAATTTGGAGTTATTCTCACCTGCTTCTGTAGTTTTACAGATAGGAAAACACTCAGTGAAAAATGATATAATTCATCCAGTCAAATAAAAAAAAACGCAGCTTTCAAATTCAGTTAGTCATCTTTCTAAAATACTCCACGGCAGTTCAATGAAGGCTTCAGGTTGCGTTTTATAAATAGTGGGAGAGGGTGTCACACTGAAATTTCATGGTATTTTGCTAATATTTGTAAAACTCTGAATTGACAGTTTTGAGTCAAAGGAAAAAAAAAATTATCATCCAAAACACAACACAATTGAAGTTGGAACCAGACCCTATCACTAAGTTGGACTCTTAAAAATTTCCTTGACTTTCCCTCGCTCCTGTTTTTTTTCTGCACTGAATATATTTTGTAAGAAATACATCCCAGTTCTGCATGGAATCCTTAAATTTGTTTAAAAAGTTGGGTTTTTCAACCAGTAGTTTTGGGGTAACAAAGCTTTGTTTTGGCCACACTAATATTCCTAATAATTCCCAGCTCATCCTACCTTGTCATGAATTTAAATTCTTTTTTTTTAAACAATCTTTGATTTTGTTTGTTTTGTCTACTAGTCCAAGGGAGCTATTTACCAATAAAGAAAATGTGTCCACATTACATTTTGGCAGAGAATAAAGTGCCCCCTACGGCTAGAGACCTGTGGTTACCTGGTGGTGGTGGTGGTGTTAACAGGTAGTTTTCCTGACTGGGTGCAGTTCTGACTGCTCGTTACCGAGTTCCCCTTTGGATTTTACTATCTGCATATTGATATTTGTTTTGGTTCCATTTTGCTTGTCAGCTCCCAGATTGGATTCTCAGCTCCCAGAAGCCAGAGAGCACAGCTCACCACCACACAGACACCCTCACCATGTGGACCAGCAGCCCAGGCTCCTCTGCTGACCCTCAGTGACCATAAATCCAGCCAGGCCCAGGGCTTAGCCAGGCTCCAGAGCCGAGGCTGCACAAGGGTGGTGGGCTGGGGCGGACTACCCAGACTTTGGCGGTGGGTGTGGTGTGGTGACAGCTATGTGAAGAGGCGTGACCCTACCCCCTCTAATGACATAGTGTTGTAAAGCAACATCACTTGGATAAAAATGATGCAATTAAAAAAAAAAGGTAAAATAGAACTGCACACTCACCTAAGATGTTCCTAGTATGCTTAGCTGAGTGTGAGATCCTAATGAAAATCTCCTAGAAGGAAAATAAGGATTTTGAAATACAGTTTTTCTTAATTCAGACAATTTGTAATCAACGTGAAACTGATCAGGGATTAAAGAGAGCGCAACATCCCACCCTGCCCACCCCCGTGTGAGAAGGGCAGGGGAGACGGTTTATTGAAAAACTAAAAAGATCATCCACTTTCCAAGGTTTGGCTTCAGCACAGACTCGGGAGGACGTGGGTGCAGCGCCGCGCCCATGTCTGGAATGCTGTGTGCCCGAACCCAGGGGGCGACGGGTCACCACACGCTAGATTGCCCCTCGAAGGGAAAAGCTGGTTCTGCCTGCTGTCAGCCTCGCCTGCTTGGAGGCCGCCTTGTTTTGACTTCGCTCCGCAAGGGGAGAGCACGGTGGGGCGCTTAGCCCCTCAGTGAGACGCGTGTGCTCTGCTTCATGCGAAGTCTCCATCTTGTGCCTGCTCGTGGGTCTGCAGAGTTTGGCGCGGTTCTTCACAACACCTGCTGGCTGGGGGGCGGCTCGGCGTGCCTTCCTGAAGCTACAGCAAGTCGGATGCCGACCTCCACCAGGCGGGCCCCCCAAGACTGGAAGCTAGTGACGTTTGTTTTTAGTTGGAAAAAGGGGCACCTGTTAACGCAATTTCAGAAGGTCAAGTTCTCTTAACTAGACTCTAAACAAAAGGAGGACCCCTCTCCCCAACGGGGCGCGGGCTGGATGTCAGCGGGGAGGGGCTTGGCCGTCTCCGTGGGAGGTGTCAGTGTGGGGGCTCTTCTGGCCAGAGAAGCAGCTGTTACTTTGCTCCTCTTGGCCTGTCCTGGGCCTGCTCAGATGCCGTGCAAAGCTGTCATTTGTAATGAACTGAACTACTTTTATCGGCTGGATATAAAACCAGAGTGACAGGGGTGCAATGTCTTGTTATTTGGGGGTGTCGAGGCACGCTAGTGCTGTTTGGAGGTGGGGAGCAGAAGGCCTGACACAATGGGTGCTCTCCCAGGAGGGGCTGGGCCCACCCAAAGGCCCGCGCCTCAAGCGAGGACACGGACGCCATCGTGACAAGGGCAGTGGCCAGAGCAGCAGCCTTAGGAGGTGGCTGAGGGTGGAGAACAGGGGTGTGGGGTCTCCACACAAAGCCCTTTCTGGACTCCGAGCTCCGTGGCTGGTGTCAGGAGGCACCCTAGGCACAGAAGAGGACCGACCGGGTGAAGGGGTGTGAACCAAGACTCCAGTTCCCTCAGGGCAGCAGCAGACAGCAACTGGGGCCATGGGGCTCCCCGTCACTCCTCAAGGCAGCCTTTTTAGAGTCTGCTTCTTGGGGTGCTCTCCGTCAAAGTGTAAAGAAACTCCCCCCCCATCTTCATGTGTCCTGCCCTCATGACCCTCAGCCCTGTGCTTGCTCATAATGGAAATTTTTAATATGACCCCTGTGAATATTTCACTGGATCTTCTCCACATAAAGGATCCTTCCTGGAAGCTGAGTTCCCGGGGAGTGCCTGAGTCTGGAAGGCACCCCCGGAAATTTGAGGGGCACTTTATCAAATTCTTGGGAAACAAATAAGCCTGGGGGTGGGCGGTCCCAGGGTCTGGCCTCCTTGCAGAGACAGGAGCTTCATTTCCAGCAGCAGCTGCATCACCCCTTCCCAGGTATCCCCCTATAAATGGGAGGCGGGTGAACAGACCAGCGAAGACTGAGGTTACTGGCCTGGCAGCAGGTCCTTACACAAGCGTGGGGTTTGGAGAACTATGTGACATGGCTGCCCAGAGGGCCTACAGCAACCTGTGAGCTCGTCGGGGACACTGTCCAACAACTGCCACGATGATCGGAAACCTCTGAACCACTCCCATGACAGCAGCTGGTACACTGCCCCACGCCCACAGCACCAGGCACTGGCAACGACAGGCCCACACTGGTGACACTGTCCGCACGCGCCTGCCTGTGGCTGCACCCAGTAGCGACTCTCACCTGGACTTGCAGTCACTTTCCAGACCAAGAGATTCATCCGGGGAACTACGTGGATTGCCCTTAGGCAGTGACCCCCAGACGGCACCTACGGGAATGCGTGTTGCACATCTATACACACAACACGCACAACGTAGCCAGGTGTTCTCTTAAGAACAGCAAGAGACCCTGCCCCCAGCACCAAATCTATCATCACTTTAAAACCATCTCCTTGGATTCTCAGTTTTTTCCTGCTTCAGTGAAGAGACTGATGTGGACGTGTGCCACGGGCGGAGCAGCCAGACACAAAAGCTCAGGACGGTGACCTCACGGGGTGGTGAGGGGAGGCTGACTGGCCTCCACCATTGCTAAGTGTCTCCCAGTCCGTGAGTCACTCGCCAGCACGTGGCAGCAGCTCACCAGGCGAGTGTCTCTCTCACGCCACTCAGGGACTAAGGTCCTCCTGCTGAATCTGTTTGTCTCCTATGGCATTCTCTACTATCCGCCTGCCAAAAAACACAGAACACAGCTATGATTACTGTTACTTACGCAGAAGAGGAAGCAGCTTTCTACAAGCCGCCCAAACACGCCACCTCTCAGGAGCCCTCCAGCTGTGCATGATTTAATAAAATTGACCATGTAGGATAATGCTGTTTATTAAAAATATATTCAGGGAGAAGGAAGTCAGTGCATTTATGCAATTTTACATACACATCTGTAGTTCGAGGTTCCATTATTCCAACAGTTCATATAAATCACTGTTTCAGAGAAGAGAAAAAATGCTTTACACAGGAGATCAGCAATCGGTTATTAGGTTTGGTAATACGAGTAGGCTTGTTGTAAAAATAAAACCACCTCTTCCATTATTAAAGAATGTCTCCTTTATGCAGAACAAGTCTTGAGAGTTAAGAACTTTTTCTTGCATAAGAATTAACTTGAAGTTCTTGGAAAACAGCCAATTCTGTTTTCTATAAATATAAATGCTGTGTTTTGTCTGGAATATTTTTGAGGTAACGAAGCATTTTCAGTCATTTGTCACTACGTTATCCTTCCCCGCCGATGTCAATTCGTGCAACATCAAACCTAAGACTCATACAGAAGCATTTCTCAGTCAGAAACACAGAGAATGACATTTCCAGAGTTATTACAGTAGGGAAAATAAAGTGGGTCCATAAAACAAAGCCCAAGACAAACGAAAGGCTTGATCATGTGAATGAACAATAGTTTTCATAACCACCCCAAAATGATTTCATTTCTGAAGGCCCCACGAAGTCTTTTCTCACCGTCTCCTTTCTTACATTTTTTTCTCGGAGTATCAGTGACATTCCCATTTCTGAGAACATAGCCTCAACCCCTGATGAGCCAGGGGAAGACAACGCCCTCTCCATCACGCTTCCTCGGACAATCAAGAGTCGGGTCTAACCACTCGCACGCTGGGGTTCTGTGCCGCCACCTACGGTCTTCCGGCCCCGGGCGAGACAGTCGACAGGCATGGCTCAAAGTCCATCAGCTGCACACTCCTTGTCACGGGATGTGCCCAACTCACCCCAACAGCCAAATGCCAAAAGGGGGCACGTGACTGTTTTGGTGAAAGGCTCCGCACCGCAGAGCCGAAGCACAGGAGCCCCAGGAACCTGCTCGCCACTAGCTGTGAGGCGGCTTCCGCTGGCTTTGGCGGAGGCATCTAGAGCCCTCTCCACATGCTCCCATTCAGTTAACCTAATACTGTTCACTTTTGGGGGGGACTGGGAGGAGGGGGTTATATTGAACTATCTGTTTCTTCCTTCTTGGAGTGAAATAGTTATGTTCTTCATAGACAGCAGGCCACATCAGCAACTGTCATTAAATGACATGACCACACACCCGACATCAGCTGTGACTGACATGACTCCAGCTCAGCAAAAAGTAAAGGACGACAGAATCTCAGTCACTATCCAGCTGCCCGCGTGTGTAGAGCAGACTTAGACGTGACGCTTGTTGACTGGGTGACCAAGGAAATAAATTTAAGGCATAACTGGAGTAATAGCAAATGAAGTATATAATTTTTCCCTCCAATGCACGGTTAAGGCCTCTGACAAGAGATTGCTTTAAAGTGGGAAGAGTCTTCCTGGCCCTCGCTGACGAAGGGCCCCAAGACCCGAGGAAGAGTCAAAGACGGAAAGCGTTCAAGCCGGCAACGGATGCCTCCGAAACACTCAAGCTCAAGCGTGACTCAAAGCCACCGTCTGTCTCCCTCGATGCTGAAATGAATGAGGCAAAGCTGCCGGGGTCACACACGGATGGAGTCAAATACAGATCTTTTAATAGGAAACATCACTTTGCTTATACATTATGTCTGCATTTTAACAAGAGAACCCTTAAAAAAATGAGGAACAAATTGCTATGTCCAGGCAAAATTCTTTGTGCTTAGTTTGTAAAACGGTATCAGCACAGTTTCAAACAACTGGCTCGCTCATCGCTTTGCTCAAGCGGCTGGGCTCCTGCAGGAAGGCGGCTCCCTCCTCGGTTTTAAGGGGAAGCCGCTCGCTTGTCAGTCTCTGCAGGGGCCAGGGAGACTCACCCCAGGCTGCCCCGACAGCTCATCAACCTAATGGGGGTCACTGTCCAAGTTCACCGTGAGGAGGGGACGCGTCCACGTAAGGCCATTGGAGTGTAGAATGACAGAGATTAAAATAAAACAAGCCACCGAGTCTTTTTGTTGGTGAAATGGGCAACAAAGGGGCTTCTAGAGCAATTAAATAAAGACTTTGGAACAGCCAGGGAAACGAAATTGATTTCTCAAAGTTCAATAAAAAAAAAAAATGAGCTCATCTGTCATTTATGGAAATTCTCAAATTTACACAATAGGCTTCATGTTGCACCTCAGGAAGGAAGGACTCTCCTCCCAGTCTCTCCTCCACATTGCAGGCTCTTCAAGTTGCTGTTAGGAATTCTCTGACTAGTGTAGTCAGCCATGACGCACATCATGGAGACGTGGTGATTTCCTGGCACTGGAAATCACACGTACATGTAACACGATGGGAAGTTAGGCATACGGCACAGAACTATAAACAAAAAGGTGAAGCAAACTTTATT